ACAATATTTAAAATACTTTTGTTATAGGTGTTTCTTAGTACTACTATGTAACCTTTAATTATAATTTCTTTTTCCAAACAAAAATAACATATATCAAAAAAATCTTTAAAATATAATAGAAATGATAAGCTTCATGATTTATATATATAATGGAATACGCTCTTTATTTTATTTTTCTTGAGGTTACATGTACCAAGCAAAGCCAAAACTTTTGTTAAAAACAAACAAAAAAAAACAGACTGGGAGATATTGACAAGGAAGCTAGTCCGATGAAATTAAAGACTTCTGACGTTTTATCGGTATATGTATTTGAATGGATAACTTGATCTTTGTACATATCAACACCCTCCAATGTTAGGTATATACTTAGAGTTAGATCATTTACAAACACTTGCAAAACAAAAAAAAACTAAACATAAACTATAAGCGAGATAATGCGTATGTGTGTGTATGTGGCGTTAGAATCGTCACCTTACCATCAGATTTGGTGTTTGTTCCAACGACTTAAATGGAGGAATGTGATAACACTGCGTCATAGAGCTCAGACGCACAACAACAACATCACCCACTTCAAACCTGCTTTTGTGCTTTCTCTTTTCAACGCACGTCAAAATTCTAGAAGAAAAAAGAAATAAAAAAAAGAGATATCGATTTCCAAATTTTTCAACACGTTAATAATAATTTATCTGTCGGTGCTTATATTATTTTTGTCGTTTTATATTCTCATTGTTAAATAATGTAAGTGTTGTTGGTGTCTAATTATTAGGTTTTGTATATTTAGAAAATAATAGAATTTGCCTTTTTAAAAAATATGAGAAAACAAAGAGGTGTGATATAAATAGTCAACAAGAGCATTTTATAGATAAAATGAGGAAAAACTTGGAGACAACTAAGATTTTTACCAATAACAAAATTCTAGATTTTTTACATATTTTTTTCGAAAAGAAAATCAATTATTAAGAAGTAGATTTTCTAATCTTATCTACTATTTATCACCCTTTTCTACACTATTTACTATGTTTCACTTAGTATAATTAAGAAATTATATAGTTTTTTGATAATTCTAATGGTTAAGAAGTAGTGACAAGTTGTGTGTTGTTGCTTCTGATTTGTGTGTTGATTCATGTTTCCAAGGTTTTTTTCTTTATGAAAGTTGATTGAGTTTGTTAACATATGGTAATTAATTAAGAGAACGACTATTTAATCATAAATTTATAAATTTGTAATTTCGATGGACTTTTACTGATGATTCTGGAAATTAAAATCCATTTTATTTTGGTTGGAAATACTCACCAAATTTCAATTGTTTTTTCTATTTTTATTTTGACATATCAGGATCTTAATCTTTACTAGTTAGCATTTTGAAAACTATATTGTCTTAAATTTGTGGCTAATAAGTTAAAACTAGATGTACAGTTTTTTTTTAATCCTTTCTTGTATCGTCGTATAGATGATTTCCTCATTAAATTTAACTTTTTTTTTTTCCAATTGACACTTACGTCAATGTGATTTATATTTCCAATTGCCTACAAATTAAATTTAAATTTATTAACTGTAATTAATTTTGTTGTGTTTTGTAATTTGTTGCTGATAAAAATGGTTATCTTGGTTAAGAAGCTACGTGCAAGAACAGGCCCGAGGCCGGTTTATACCTTAGATGATTTCGATGAAGATGGTTCAAGAAAATGATCAAGCCAATGAACATGTAACCAAACATATAATAAGACATTTAACTTATTCAGTGGTTTGATATTTTTTTCTGGAATTGAACTATCTTCTTTGGAATCATTTGAGATGTAAAACCGGTTAGGACATATTCATACACGTAGCATCTCTTCCAAGATAAAAACTTTTAACCAACAAATCAAACAACACACAACATTTACAGTTGATAAATTATATTTGTAACAAATCGTAATAATCACCTAGATTTAAGAGTAGAGAAAAAATAAAAAAGTAAATCTATAAGAGAACATCAATATAATACCAAAAGAGACAAAAACAAACTTTTTTTTCAAAATTTAGCTCATAATCATCTCTTATATAGTAAAAAAGAAGTACATCTAGGATTTGGATCGGGTCAATTAAAAAAATTTAACCCGAAATCAGTAATTGGATATTTAGCTTATGCACTATCTGAAAATCTTGGATATTACCAGAGATATATTACCGACCATAAATGTTAACTTAAAATTAAATTACATTCCTCATTTGTAGGTCACTATATTATTAATTGCACCATTTAGAAAATCCCTATAATCACGTAATCATAAAGCAAAACACAATATTTAGGAAGCAATTTAGATATTTTCCATATTCAACTACAATTATTTCCTAACATATTTTTATGATTGTGTAATCAAATATTACGAGTATAAAACCGAAGATTAATGCAATTAATTATTGACTTCTCACGTTATTAACTAAGGTACTACAGTTAGATACTAACTAAGTTCAATAAAATTGGACTATTATATGGTTAATGTGTATGCTACAAGAAATACACTTGCAAACAAATAAAATTATAACAACAAAAAAATTACTACAACAAACAAAAATTTTAATATTCAAAGACACTCGGTTACTATAATTTTAGTAATTGCAATATCATATATAAAACAAATAATAGCGAAATTAATACACAAGATTCGTTGGTTTATACAATATATATAATCATCTTTATATTAGACGGTTAGTTAAGTTTTCTGAAATACTAGCTAATTTTTAATGTATGTTTCTACAAAAAATATTAAATAAATTAATGCAACATCACTAATTTTTTTTATAGTGTGTAAAACATAAAAAAAAATGAAAATTTAAAAATTTCCCCCGCGCTTTAGCGTGGGTCCGATTCTAGTTTTTTGAGTCAAATACCAAATATCATAATCATTAAATGTCAAAATTTTATAACATAAGCGAGATAATCAATTGAAAGGTGAGTCTTCAAACTAAAACAAAAAGGGTTCTTGTGATCATCGACAAAATCCATCAAGTTCAGATTTCATAATTTAGAATTAAAGATTCGTTTTCTCAAACTCATATCACAACAAAGTTAATATTGTTGCACTCTTGTGCCAAGTATGAGAAGAACAAACCCCCCATAAAATCATGTATTTGTAAAAAAAAACTTGATAAAAGCATTGAAAACATAAAGCAAGTAAATCATAAGCACACAAACCCCACATATAACTACTTATATCTAACTAGTAAAATTAAAAAAAAAATCACTATACTATTTTCTAGTTATATTCAATGAAAATAAAGTAAAAAAAAAAAAAGATGATAAAAAAATAAGACTGACCTTAGGATTGTCGTCCAATCGAGGCAACGATTGGGCACGAGACAAGTACCCCGATTGTTTTCCTAACCCGCAAAACTACTCGCAATGACTTGATGCCCGTTAATTACAGCCAATGTCATATTAAATAAAACTTGTATGAATTTCTTTTTAAGTTAAGAAATCATAACTAATGAACCTCACAATTGTGAAGTCCAATATTGATATGTGTTACAATACATTTGAAGTCTATATTTATAATGAAAAAATTATGTCTTGTGTAGTCTTTTAGTCGATGTGGGACATTAAACTTTTTTTTTATTAGCGAACAAAGCTACATATTCATTTAACCGAAAAACCGAAAGCCCAAGCCAAATATATGAGGCCTTTTCTATTTTAATGAAAATATAATTATTTTATACTTTTATTTTTATCAAATAAAAAAATTCTTATAAGATAAAAATAAAATTTATAAGTTCATGAGGCTTTTTCTATTTTTATCAAATAAAAAAATAAAAACAGGTAATGAAAACCTAACAAAACCAAATAATCAAAATAAATTTAATATTTGATACTTGCTTCATATTAAAAGTATTTTATTTTTCGTAACGTCTTAATTAGCATTTCAAATACTTATTTTTCAAAATAGGTGCAAATAAACAACTAGAGTATGAAATGTGTAACAATTATTTTTGCTCAGCTCTAATGAAACTGTTATTTATTAAACAAATTAACGACGGTTGATTAAAAAATTAGAATTCGTCAACCTCCTTCCTCCCCTCATCCTTTGTAAATATTGGAACGAAGCTAATCTTTTATGTGTTACCCTATACGGGTTAACCAAAATTCGAGTAAAAAAATGTCGGGAACAGATGATCCCGACATTAAAAAAGAATAGAATAGTAGAAAACAGTAAAAATGTCAAAATGAGAGTCTTAGGGATAGTTGTTGATGTCGTTGTCGTTGTCCCAACTAAATAAGCCAACAAGATGTGACGCGCGTTTCCATGAATCGTCCGTGTTTGGTACTATTGGCGTATCGACCTCAATGCTCTCAATCTCATCATTTACAACAACTCGCTCACCTATCTTTTTTTTCATTGTTTTACTCTTTTTTTTTTTTATATTTTCTATGTTTTTGTTATTATTCTTTTATAACATGTCAATCGTATGCAAATCATTTTACCTAATCCAGGATCCGTGAAGTCATCATATAAGTTCTGTGATGTTTTGAATTCATATTAGTTGATACTATTTGCATGTCTTTTCTTTGAAGTCTCTTGGATCAATTAACACAACATGCAATATATAGATTTAGGATCGTACACATTTCTTTCTATTAGAGAGTTTTATCACATCACACTCACACATGTCATGTTCACAAGTCGTTTTTGTTTACTTTTCTTCTTCTACTTGAACCTGATTCTCATCCTCAAATTGGAAAGATTTGGACGCTGGCAAAAGATACCTATGAAAACAAACAGAAAATATTTAAGACTTGTATATGCCATAAGAAGTTATTTTATGATACTCATCCAAAACTTGTTACGTCCAATGTTGTTCTTGTATCACATATTCAAATTCGCATTCGCATATTGTATGTAATTAACCAAAGAAGAACATTTCGGAGTCATGTGTAAATGGAACTTTCTTACATTATGGGTTTGGTATACATTTTGTATATTAATAGAACGGTTTTAAGTTTTAATACCAAAAGTTTCTTATATATCCAATTTGTGTCTAGTTTTCAAGTTCCGACAACTTTTCCTTTGAAGGAGGAGAAGAAGAAGAACCATTATCTAATTTACAGAGCTCTTCATCTTCATCTTCGGAATTAGCATCAGTGTCCGAACAACTAAGATAAAGCTCATTATGATGATGGTTACGTGATTCCGATGGATAATCATCCAAGATAGAAAGAGGGTTTCTGTTATTCGGGTCATCGTAAAGAGCAACATGCCTGTAGTATAGTTCAAGTTCCTTCTCTGCAATTGCTATGAAGTGTCTCACCGATTCAAGAGATTGTTCGTACTTTGATCTTTCATATGCCTGCAAGAGGAAACATAACCATGTTAGGAACTAGTAACCAAAACATATCCCGAATCAAATGAGTAGACTTCAGAATGATAAAAGTGATCTCTAATTACCCAAACAGAACAGAAACAAAAGATATTCTCTGATAGATTTGTCCTGTGATTTCTATTAAACACGCTACTCGAGTGAAATGTTTCAACAACATTAAGGTTTCTAGTTTCAAAATCCTAAATGCACAGAGCCTAAGGCAAGTAAGGTTTTACTTCCTATCCATTCTACAGTAAGATGTCCCAAAACAAAAGGACAATATGAGGACTTACCCTTTTCTTTGATAATGTATCGATTGGAGACATAATTTGTGGCTGCACATAACCCTTCCCTCTATAAAATATGATTGTATCATCGCCAATTATGTTAACAGGCACACCACCACTAAGTTTGGCAAGCTCCTCTGCATATTGCTGCACTTGTCCTGGCTTACTATTATTGCAGATAACCTTAACAGTTTCGTGTTTTTTCCAATGCAGATGCATGTTTAGTATAACACCCCCAAATACTCCTCTTCTCCCAATTGGTACATAATTAGACCTTTTCTGACCCATTTTCTTCAAGTAGAACCGTTCTTCCCCGGTAATCTCATGGGGTCGAACCTCAGGCCCCTGCACTTTCGCAACTTCATACCGTTTCAGTTTCTCAACCAGCAACGCTTCTTTGATCTTTGCCTGATACAAAAGAGCAGCACCGAAAAATAAAACACATCAAAATGAACCTTCAACTCATCAAACTCATAGGTATTGTTATCGAATTAGACTCTCACCGACCTTTTCAAGCTTGTACGTTATTCTTTCCTCCGGGTTAGCAAACTTCTTCTTCTTCCCTTTGACAGTAAGTCGCCGAGGGTCTTTCCTGTTAGCTGCATTCCTTTCCTCTCTTTCTTTCTTCCTTTTCAGCTTCAGCCGCTTTTTCGTCAACCACTTATACTTCTTGGGAGGATCAAGTTCCCGAGTTTCAAACTTTGGTTTCCCTTCTGATATCACTAGATTCACAGTACCCTGACTGAAACTTCTACATATAGGCCTTGAGATCGTTGTTGGTAAAATGAATATTAATGTTGAATAAGAAAGCTCTTGGCTTTGCGGAAGCAACCTAGTTGGGAAAATATCGACATGAGTATAATCACATTTTGGACAAAAACATTACCAAACTATGTTGTATATAGTCTCTTAGATACACAAACCTGGAAGAAATGAGAAGTGGATATGAAGATTTAAGTAGAGATGAAGCTTTCCGAAACCCACGAGCAAAAGCAATTGCCATAATTTTAGCTTAAATCGTCTCAAGATTCGAGCTTTTTCATCTAGTCTGCTACAATAATCAAAACGTTTTAGAATAGCATTTATCTAAAGATAACCAAATCTAAGAAGCATTTCATCGAACAAGTGGTGAGCAAGCATACACTACGAAATAACAAAAATTTACTACAAAAATACTTAGAAAATTGGATACATTCAAAAGAGAATGATTAGAAGAGTAGAGATTCATGAAGTACACTGATTTCTTCCTGGCGCCGTGGCTTAGTGAACCACTGACCTGTTTCGCCGGTGGTGGTGGTGGTGGTGATAGTTCGGCGAGAGAGTGAGAACCAAAGAAGAGAGGAGGAAGATTTTTATCTTTGGGCCTGGGAAACCAATAAGCCCATTGGGTGGTTGATTTCTTGAAATAAAATATGGGCTTAGTCAAGGGTATTAATGCTCATTTAGTGTTTATTTAATTGTAGTTGCATCAAGTTTTTCAATTTTAAGATAATTATTTTCTTAATTTTACAACTAAAAATATATTTGTAAGTGAAATTAAAAATATATATCTATACCTATTTACTATTTTCATGATAATTTTTTATTTGTATTAATAAAAATACAAATCTAAGCAATTTTTCTTCATTTTATAAATTTTTTTGCATAATCACATAAAACACATCACTATGCTTATAATTAATACATGATTACAAGTTTACAACACATGTTTTAAAAATAATTGACCTAAAACACCAACAATAAATTTTGTTTTTGATTACAAGTGATTACAAGTTTACAACACATGTTCTGCATCGATCATGGAAAGCCACAGATCAACACACGGGGCTAGGATGGTATTGCCAGAACTCACAGAACATACCACCGGCTAGGGGGGCCAAACTACCAAAAGAAGTCTTTCTCCCCTCCATGCAGAAGTCGAAGCACTTGTTTGGGCGATGCGCTGCATGATTGGACACAACTTCAGAGAGATTAAGTTCTATTCAGACTGTTTCGATTTGGGGAAGATGGTGTTTTCTTCAAAAAGTTTTTAGCTTCAGATTTTATATTTTTTTGTAATTAAAATATACTAATAAACTTGTTAAGAAATTTTCCTTTGGAGATGTAATCTTACAAAATTTACAGAGTACGTGGTTTATAGTTCCTATTTCCTAAGCAACTTAGATTTACAAATCAAATAAAAATTTGCTCAAAAATAGAATTGTTGCAACACAAAAAAATGAGATAATTATTTCTGTTTAGGACGACCAAGGAAAATCAATTAAATGACAAATATTAAATGGTACAAGAGAAGGACCAAGAAGACAGAAGGATATTTCTCTTTCACTTCTCTGCCTCGGGAAATAGAGGGAAGTGAGAGAGTTCTAGAGGAAAAAGAATGAAAAATGGAGATAGTTTTTTTTCCCTTTTGCATTTTTTTCTTCAACCAATGAAATGTGACGCGGAAACAACTGTGCGACGTAGCGTTGTTTCCGCGTTCCTTTCGTTGCCTATCTTTTCTTTTCTTGCTGGGCCTTTTTTCTTCATTTAACATTAATGCCTGGCCCATTTTTAATTTAAGCAACTTTGTAAAAACGACTAGTGGAGCTGGTCTAACAAGATAATTAAAGTGTTGTTCCCTCATCATCATACTCGCATACCACAAGAGCTTCACATGCCGGAGAGCCAACTAAACATGATACATGTGAATAATTAACGTCCACAAGTCTTGAGATTCTGATATTTATATCAGAAAGACACTTCTTTGTATAAATCTCATAGAAAATTCAAAGAAGCTGGACCAGAGTAGCCTAGACATTGCTCTCACGTCTAATCCAGATAACTATCGTGGTCGTGGCCTCCCAACCGTACCGTAATAAAACACGTTTCAAGTGGACTCCAAATAGCATAGAAGTAAAGAAAATGAGGAACATCAAATGTTAATGTATTCTACCTTTTTAGAGAGGGTAACTAACAATAGTTTTAAAACTATTATAAGTAGCTAGTATATATGCAAGACGACATAGTGCCTAAAAGACAAACTATCACATGATTCACATAGATGTGGAGATGCCAAATATGTTATACTGATTAGAAAAAGTGCATTTAGTGAATAGGGTTTGTACGTAGTTGAATCTGATAAGTATATCTATTGGCTTTCAGATAAGGTTTGGTTTGTATGATCTTTGGCAAAAGCTCAAATATCGCCGATTCGAATAACGCTTGGACAACACCATATAATATGCTTTGATTTCGGGACTGAGGGGATATATAGGTTTCGATCGTCCAGAACCTCTTTGATTATTCAAAAAAAAAAAAAAATCTAACTAGGATATCTATTTACTATCGAGAAGAGAACAGAGGAAGATTTATAAATCAGACCTTCATTTTTTTTTCTAGCTTTCTATCCCTAACTCTTTTAATTTGTTGCTATTTAAATAAAATAAAATAAAAACTGAAAAAGGTAATAATCCTCTTATTAGGATGACGTGTATACTTGTTTTTGGAAATAAATTGGGTACAATGTAAAATTATCACAACATTAAAAAAAATCCAAAAAAGTCAAATCACGATTCCTTTAAATTTCCTTAATTTGGTTTTCTATTTCACATTCCAGTTTCTTTGTATAATAAAGGAAGGAGAGGCGAGGGTTAACGCACAAGAACTTAAGATTTAAGATATCTCTCTTCGAACTAAAGGTATCTCTCTCTCTGTCTCTCTCTGATTGGATGCGTTTTCGATTTCACAGACAAGGGTTTGTCTGATTCTAGTAGTTGCTACGATATATTCTTTTTGTTCTCACAACAGTAGACTTAATCTTGTTTGGTAGATTTGGTAGATGGAAGACCAAAAGCAACATGAACATAAGAAGCAACGTGACTCCGAAGAAAGCCATGATCATCACCATGTGGTTCAGATTTCAATAGCAGAGCCAAACTCAGTTCGTGCAGTCAAGAAGACATGTGGAGAAGCTCCTTGCGGGTTTTCTGATGCCAAGACGATTTCAAGAGACGCTGCAGAACGAGCAGCATCTACGAGGAAGCTGTTGGTGGCTGTTGTGCTCTGTGTCCTCTTCATTACCGTCGAAGTTGTTGGAGGGATCAAAGCCAACAGTCTTGCCATTCTCACTGATGCCGCTCACCTTTTTTCCGATGTTGCAGCTTTTGCCATCTCCTTGTTCTCTCTATGGGCTTCTGGTTGGGAGGCAACCCCACGCCAGTCCTATGGTTTCTTCAGGATCGAGATCCTTGGTGCTCTTGTATCCATCCAGATGATTTGGCTTCTTGCTGGTGTCTTAGTCTACGAAGCAATTGCTAGACTTCATAACGGTAGCGGTGAAGTTCAGGGCTCTCTCATGTTCCTTGTCTCTGCAGTTGGTCTCCTAGTCAATATTGCTATGGCTGTTCTGTTGGGACACGACCACGGTTGTCACAGTCACAGTCACGGTCACGACCATAGCCATCACCATGAACATGAACACGATCATCACCATGATGATCCACATTTATCTGAAGCCTTTCTTGATAAGAGTGAGAAGAAGAAGCAGCGTAACCTAAACATTCAAGGGGCTTATCTACATGTGGTGGGAGACTTAATCCAGAGCATTGGAGTGATGATAGGAGGAGCAATCATATGGTACAAACCTGAGTGGAAGATCATTGATCTGATATGCACTCTTGTTTTTTCAGTGATTGTGTTGTGGACAACAATAGGCATGTTGAGAAACATTATAGAGGTTTTAATGGAGTCAACCCCACGAGAGATAGACTCAACTAGGCTGGCGAAGGGAGTGTGCGACATGGAAGAGGTGGTGGCCGTTCATGAGCTTCACATTTGGGCAATCACTCTTGGCAAAACTCTGTTGGCATGTCACGTGAAGATCAAGCCAGAGACTGATGCAGATATGGTTCTTGACAAGGTTATTGACTACATCAAGAGGGAATACAACATCAGTCACGTTACAATTCAGATTGAACGCTAACTAGTTTTAATATTGTTTTAATTTTTAGACATTCATAAAAGAGTTCTATTTAAGACACAAATCATAAATATTAGACCAATATTTTAATTAAATTTGATTATTATATTCTAAAATTAATTTTGAAGAATTCTTTAGTTCACCATTGTACATGCTCTAATGATGCTTCTGAGGTGTCTTGTATTAATGAATTTTTATAGTCTCCTTTGTTTTAGTTTTGACTGAGATAGGGATCACTTAATCTTCTGCCTCCATTCTAGTGTAATCATCATCATCAAATTAGACCTAACAAAATATTTAAGTAATGGGGCCTTCATTTACAATAATTTATCATTTAACAATAAAGAAAAATTGTATCTCATGGTCTCCGTTGACCTTTTTATTAAGATAATAGTTTTGGTATTTTGCTCTTTTTTGGAGCATGTGCATCAGCGATAATACACATCGTCCCACACAATTTAATTTTCAAAAATAAATCCAAGAAAAAAAAATGGGAGACGTTTCTTAATTGGGGACGTCATTTGCTTTGTTTCTTTAGTATTCGCGGGTTCCAATGACACGTGGCGGTCTGTGATTGGTTGACTTTTAAAAATAAAATAAAATCTAAAGACAATTTTTGTCCCACACCAATGCATATGGTCTGACCATTTTAAACCTAGCTTGCACCTAAAAGCATAGGGTATTGATTTGGCTAATGATTTTTTAACAAGATTTTTTTGCTGATTTTATCTTATCAATTTGAGCCTTCTTTCGATTTGAGCTTATTCAGCAAGGGGAAGTTGTTTGTCTTCTGACATCGGTGGCTCTGTTTAGCACCGTTTGGTGAGCAAAATTTCCAGCACCGGTTGGCTTCTTCCGCGACGGTTGCTGGCTACGTCTCCATCGATTCGTCTTTCAACGATTTGTATGGCTTGTGTCCCGGCTTTTGTCGGATTTTTTTTTTCGCACTAAGGGCTAACAGTCCAAGGAAATATGGAGGGCTAAGCTATTCAACCAATGATGTCGGTACAGTTCTTGCTATCTTAGATATGCAGAACATTCTAGCTCTTGACGTCTTTGTGTTTTAGTGATAAGAATTTTTGAAAATGATGATAAGCCGCCGAAGAGAGACTGAGAGACAACATGTGTGACAGAAACCATTTAAAAGCCAAAAACCATGCAACAGGGGAGACCAACATAACATGCTTATTAGTGCTTACCTTTATTATTACTGTTATTTCAAAGTAACAGAAAAAAAAAAACATACATCCATACATACTCATGGTTAACTACATTCATAACATTCAAAAAGAAAAAAACTTTCCGCAGCACATTCGTCTAAATACGGCTACGACCGAAACCATTGCGTATAGTTTGATCTACATATGCGGGGGAGCTGCCGATGCAGTGGGAAGGATAACAGCTTCTCTCTGAGCCTCGACGAACCGCCTCATCGTCTCTTCATCGACTCCGAAAGCCATGGACAACGACGTCAGATTTAGAGTCGTTAGCAGCGAGTTCGATCCTACTAGGAACTGAGGCCTGTTCTTGTGAGCCGAAGTTGTGAATCCTACAAACTCGAATGGCGCGGTCCGAGAAGCGATCTGGCAAAAGGCGAAGTAGCGAGGGATCCAGAAAACATCGCCTACGGAGACTCTCATGTTCATCGCAGAAGTTCCGTTTGGAAATACGACTTGGATCTCTCCAGAGCCGGCCAAAACAATACCATATTCCGTGGCTGTCGGGTTCATATGTGGTGCCATCATTGATCCCTGACAAAATATATAGAAACTTGGCCGGTTAATACGGTTTTGCTATTTTTTTCTAACCAAACCAACCTTGCGATCAGTAGATCTTAAGACGGTCTAGTTATCCAAGAATTACATAATGAACTTATCTAGAGTTAATTAGTGACAGTCTACAAGTGATATTCAAAGACAAAAAAAAATAGCTAGATTGTTGTTAATCAACTCAGAGATACATGAATCATACCGCGGTGAGATTTACGAGAAAAACACCGATCCCAGAGTGTTTAAGAGGCTCGTAATCTTCATAATCAAGAGCTGTACTCCATCCAAAGTCGTTTTTAAAACTAGGTTTCTGATCATAAATGTTGTACGAGTCCTCGCACTCAGAAGATCCCGACCCTTTATTCTTTTCTTCTATTAAATCCATAAACGATTTTATAATAGTCCTCCAAGACCACCCTGAACTGTATTGTTGGTCTTGAGGGGATCCTTGTTTCATCTCCAATAGTTTCTTGAGATACCTTTGTTTCTCTTCCCCTTTTAAGCCCAAAAATTGGGTCCATATCGTTGGTTGTGGACCTTGTCGTGGCCCTTCTGTGACATGTACAATTGGGCCACGGAATTGACTCCTCATCATTTGTTGCAGCTCTGGTCGAGAAACCTATAAGCATAAAATTGGTATGAGACTTAGATTAACATAAGGAGCCCTAACTAGATACTAATATGGGAGTTTCAAACACCAATTTCTAACATTCCTATAAGATGCATTTGTGCATATAATATTCGTATAACAATGCTATAGAATATTAGTACTATGGCTTTGTACATTTTCATCTTGGGAGACAAACAATGAAAACATTATACGTATTTAGGGTTTGAGTGTACTAACGTTAAGTGCTGAAGTTAAAGTGTCGGGATCAAAGCCGGCGAGAACAGAGGACGGTCCTCCACCGATATAGAAAGGCTACACACAGAAGCAACAAGTTAGCCAAACGCAAAGTTCTATAAGTCAATGTGATAATAATGAGTCTAAAATGTTAAAGTACTTGGAAGGTTTCGAAACCGAGGCTTTGGGTTGGGTCTATGCTGCAAATGACATGAAGGCGTTGGCCTCGGCCTATGTTTTGTAAATAAAAGACAGAACCAGCTGGAATCCAGTAGATGTCTCCTGCTTTCAATCTCCTCTCTCCGAATTCGTCTTTGCATATTACTCCAAGAGTAGCTTCACCTGCAAGTAAACACATGTTGAGAGAGTGAGACACACACATGACATGACACATGTTGAGAGAGCGAGAGGGAAAGAGAGATAGAGATACCTTGACGGATGAAGATGAGGAGGCTTGAGTCAAGATACTGAGGGACAAAGAGTGTTTTAGGTTCCATTGTCAGAAACCCAATGTGCATTGGCTTCTCAATGATTCTTCCTCTTGGAGATATCACAACTCTCATCTCTCCACCTTCTGATTTGATCACTTGCCTTGACTCTCTCATCATGAACCATCCTCTTCTTCCTCCTCCTCCTCGTCCTTGTCCTCCCCAATCTCCTCCTCCTCGTCCTTGTCCGCCCCAGTCTCCTCCTTGTCCTCCTTGTCCTCCCCAGTCTCCTCCTCCTCCTCCTCTTTGTCCTCCCCAGTCTCCTCCTCCTCCTTCTCCCCACCCTTCTTCTCCTTCATACCCATTAGATCTCATCATCATTACTCCATGGATAAGCACCAAGAGAAGTAAGAACCCAAAAGTTCTAGAGTTTTTCGCCATTTTTTCCAACCTTTCTGATGATTCACAATGTTCTGCTATCTTTGTAAGAAGGGTGCATGCATATGTGTTAAGTAGGATGAAGAAGAACGACACGTGTGCGACATGCAAAAATTTGGAGCCTTTCGTGTCTACTACACTCGGTGTCTTTTATATGCGTAAACGTTTTCTTTCCACCACCTCTCGTTTCATTGTTTCATATGGCTTCAGAAATATTTATAAATTATTCGGAGTTGGAGATCAAATCATTTTTTTCTCTTAGAGTCATAGAACATGTTAAAGAGTCATGGAATATTATAAAATTTAATATAACTTATAATTTTTTCCTAATCTCAAAAAACGCTGAATCTGCTTAGTTAACGTGATGATCATCATCATTACATCATCATCATCATAAAAAATGATTTGATCTCCATCTCCAACCATCATTGATGGTTTCAAATCATAATACGTAATGGTCTTGAAACAAAATCTTAAATTTTGACATTACATGAGACAGCATCATAGAAGCGAAGCAGTCAATATTTTTGTTTTCTTCAAAAAGAGCTTGAAAATAAATAATTTGAGAAGAGGAGAGACACATATATACTTAGGTGTCAATGTGTGGAGGCATTTCTCATGCATTAAACACATACAAAATATTCTTCTTATAGTATGTATATATTAAAGTGTTGGTCTATATATATAGCTTTAAGTATTTTAAGCCTCTCTACACTCCAACAAAGTTACCACATCGAGGCACATTCACAATTGCTTTCATTTTCGTCAGCTCACTCTTCTAAAACGTTTTCAAGCTTCCAACTATTAGATCTTCGTCTTCTCTGGCTTCTATATATTGTATCTTTAGCTTAAAGAGATTAATGAAGATCATCCGGAAAGATAATAAGCCCAATGAGATCAAATCAGAAAAAGAGAATAGTATATATATATATATATATATATATATATATATATTTAATTTGACCAAAAATTTGTTTTAGTCCAAAATCCATTCTTGCTTTCATAGATAGCTCTAAAAACATTTATCTAATGTGTATGTGTCTAGGTAAATTTCGAAGCTCACGGCTAAACTTCAAGTGCAATGATGGTCAACCTTAAGAGCAGTGTCCTTAACTAAGTAGATACATATCTTGGCAATGATATGAAAGATGCAAATACATATATGCAAAGCCAAACTTACATACAACACGTAGAAGCCTATAAACTGAACATACAGACCAAAGAAACATAGAAAAATGAGAGAAAGTAAAAAGTGCTATTTATGATGATTGATGATCATATTTTCACGATGGTATGATGATTGTATGTTGATGAGATGATGATTGTTAAATGGATGAAATAGTAATATATTTCATTTTGATTGGTTTCAACATGAAAAGAAAAGAAATGATGGGGTGAAATGGTTAATCATTTACCTATTTTATCACCTAACTAAATTGACACATCAACCCATTAGTATGGGACTCATTGCAAATAAATGGGTTTGAATTGGACTAAATTTATGAACTGTCTCCTTTATAACTTGGGTACAAATTATAAACACCATATTAATAATTATTAAACAAAGGCCTTTTACAAGTAATGGGCATTACATGAGCACGTTACGTTGTAATTGTATTCTCAAATTTGGTTACTAAAGTCTAAGTTTTGGCTACAGTATATAAAGGATAATAATTTCAGTAAAACGCAATAGAGTGTTGGTTTTTTTTGTTGGTGTGTGAAAATAAACATGTAATTTATAATCTGTATAAGAGTTTAGAGTAATAATATATAGTCAAAAAGGGAATTGAAAAGGTAAAAATTTGAGATAGGAAGAAAAACAAAAGTTAAACTAATCATCAAATCAACTTTTTTCTTGTACGGTGCGGATAAATCAATTCACAGTCATATTCAGCTTACAGACAGAAGAAGCACTCAGATAGATCAAAAGACAAATAGTATTTAGTTAAACCGCGTTGTTTCTCAAATGCACAACATGTCTCAGTCTCCAAGAAAATTATAAAATTTATGTAGTAATAGTATTATAATTATAGTTTTTTTTCTAAAATTATAGTTTAAGTAGAAAGGAGATTAGATTGATATTGTCAAGATAACATTTGAAGTTTCTATAATCTCGAGGAGAAGAAAAGTCACACGGATGAAAAAAGAGAGCTAATTAACTAGTTTTGGTCGCTTGTCCAAAAACATTGTGTTGAAAGGTTTCAAAACTCTTTACTTGAAAAAGGAATAAGATAGATTGTTGAATTTTTTTCTTGTGTCAACGAAAGGTGAAGTATAATTACCCTATATTTGATATTTAGACGAGCCAACAATTTACATATATATCGACGAATCAAAGTTGAACCCTTTATATATGAGAAAAAAAGAAAATATAGCTATAAAAAAATGGTTTAGCTAATTTTGTGAAGGACATATTTGATTCGAGTATTTTAGGACTTCGAATTAGATTTTTGGATTCTGAGTATTTTGACCATCCCTATTCTAAATCATGATTTTTGTTAAATAAATTAGATGTCTATGTGAATAATTAATATGTTATTCCAACAATATGTTTATTATGCGAGTCTCATATATCTTAGATGATGATGAAACGTCAACATTAAGACAAATCACTAGACTTGCATGTTTTGGTTGTATCGCAGAAATTATAAGTGAGAAAAATCGGCCGAACAATAGTTAAGTCACGTTATTGTGATTTCTTTTTCTTAAGTATCATTTTCCAACCTTTTCTTATTTGTCGATTACTCTTTAAAATGCATTAAGAATATATAGAATATTTGTTTCAAACTTGTTGATCATAATGACAGTGACAAAATCTAAACCTGATCAAAGCATAATGCTACAAATTAAGGTCTACATCGAGTATAAGGCTACTTGATATTATAACTCATGTTCCATTACATTAATGACTAATCATTTGGTCTCATTTTGCTGACCAGGAAAAAAAAACATTTGTCCTCAATTTTGAACTCTTCATGCATATTTGATATTTCACGTAATGTCTTTCTGATTGTCTTGCAGCTTAATCATTTATATCATATAATTTCTTTCTTTCTTTTTTCTTTTACAAAATTATTAGATTAATAAACTACAACTAAGAGTGGATAACTCTAATTAGTAAAGACTCCTTAATCAAGTCTAAATGTCTATGGTTTGAATAGCGCTTATTAACTAATCATATCAAATACTTTGATTTTTGATCCGAGAAGATATACGAATCTAAGCAAAAAACTTCTTAGTTATTAAAAAAATAAAAGTTTTCTACTAAAAATCTTAAAACCCTTTGGCAAAAAAAAAACTACTTAGTTCATTTCTTTTAATCATCCTCTATTTTTATTTTCATTTTCACTTAGTTCATTCTCTTTATCCAAGAATAAAACATATGTAAAATGTCGCTAAAATTTGTAGTGAATACTTTAGTTTTGTATAGTCAAAATGAATTGTCTTTGATGTTTACTTTGCAAAGTATATCTATTTTTAATCTATTGATCACTTTATTCTTATAAGAAGAATAAAAAGATCAGAATATGAATAGAACAATGTGGTTTGGATGCAATGAGAAAAGAGAATAATGCAAATACTTAAAAAAGGCTGCGCCATTTTAATTCAAGTTTGGCATTGTCCCCTTCACACGCTTATCATTTTGCACTTGCATATATCTACTTCGAAGACTGAGAAAAGCTAAAAGGAAATGAAAAACGATGAATACTTTTCTTTTTTCTTTTTCAACAATTACGAGTAATGAAAATATTGATTAATTTTTCGTATTATATGTTTGACAAACTACTCAAACCGTGTGCTCGTGTGGCCACTATAGATACGTGCACCACAAAATTGGCTGCGAACACTCTTGTAGAAAAGTAATACTAATTTTATAATATATACTACAAGAAAACATTATTAGTGACTACAAAAACAGTTATTAGTCAATTGCTAAGTAACATAATACATTAAACAACGTAATCGCCAAACCATGCGTCGCTAAATTACTTGGTCGTACAACAGTCGCTATTAAGTAATAAGATAATGGTCATTTGGTCGCAATATTTAGTGACTACATTTTCAATCGCAATATGTAATCGCTAAATAACTGTTTTCTTGAATATAAATTAATTTGTACCCTTTGGATGGACAATAGATTAAGAAAGACAGATGAGTTTAGACTTTGTCGTGGTATGAGTTTAATTCGAGTAAGAACCGAATCTAATAAAGTTGTAAGAGCTTTCATACAAATAATTTGTGTGTTTAGTCTTGTTGGCGCGTCGTATTCACCATTCCATTTCTTGGTTCCACATGTTTTTAGTTTTCTTTAAACGAGTCTATCAATAGTCCAACATGCCACGGTTAACAATGTAACATATCGTCTAAAACTATACTTATCAATAGTCCAACATGCCACGGTTAACTAGTGGCGGAGCTAGGAAATCAGATCATGAGAGTCAAAAACAAATTATAATAATTAATTGTGTTATTAAAAAATTATAGAGGTCAATTGTGTTATATTACAAGGGTCAATTTTTTTTCCTAAAAATTTATCAAATTTGAAAAATTCACCAAGAGTCATACTTCTACCTTACCTCCGCCACTGCGGTTAACAATGTAACATATCGTCTAAAACTGTACTAATCAATAGTCCAACATGCCACGGTTAACAATGTAACATATCGTCTAAAACTGTACTAATCAATGCAAAAAATAATAATCAAGAAATAGGCATTGTTCAGCTACTTTACAAAGATTTAAATTCAAGACTTGAAGAGTTTCATTACGCATAATCATAGAGTATATAACACCAATGAATAAAGATATGTTGATATTAATGCCTAACATGCACAAATAGGCATAGTTCAAGCTACACTGATTTAGGACGACTGATATAACTTGAAATAACTAGTAGTACTACTGTATAAGTGAGAACAACATATGGAAAAAATATGATAGTGATCTACTGATATGCAAGATCAGTATAATAAAGTGGTTGGTCCACTAAGAATGCCACAGCATGCTAATATGCCTCTAATTAGTCATGTATAAGATTTAGATATTTTGTAGACTTTGGTTGGCAACGAAACCAAGAAAAGACGGCAATACTCAAATTATTATACGCAAAATCAAAATTAAAAAATAGAAATTAATTAATAAATTTATATTAACATTTTTGAAGTATTTTTTTGAAAGTAATATTTTATTTTATATTATTTACATAATTAAATTTTTGTTATTCGAATAAATAACCAATTTTTAAGGTAAATTGTGTAACACGGATCGTGTGATGAAACGAGTTATAAATTACATAATTATAATTATATATGTTTTTAGGGGTTGTAGTCAAACTTAGAAAATATTAATTTAAAATTAGACTTAAATAAAAGATATTATGCCAACATTATTTCATTGTTTTGAATATTATACTTATTTAGTAAAGTTGATCAAATTACGATTATATAAAAAAAATTATTATGAAATATTCTACGTGTTAAATTATAGAATTAACAAACAAAATACAGCACTACAATCTTATATACCAAACAAAATTTATATAAAAATACATTTAAAAATATCGTTTTGCGGTATACCGCGAATTAAAATCTAATAATAAGATTAAAATCTAGTGATAAGAAATCTCCGAAACTTGTGAAGTGACTTTACTCTTACATTGAATGGTAAATCTATGAAAATATATACCATTAAGAGATCGAATTTCGGTCCTTAATTTAAATAATAGAAATTTGGCTAATACACCGATTTGTTTAGGCTAAATGTTGAAAAGAAAAAGAAAATAGACATTAGCATTATGAGTAGGGAAGTTAGGAAATTACGAGAAACTGATAAAGAGGCTCTCTAACCGATCCAATTATGAAATTGCAAGGACTGAAGGGTAGGTACTTTGTTTTTTTTTTCCTTTCGGCTGCTTATGATAACAAAGGGACTAGGGAAAAAAAAAAAAAAGTAAAGCCAATTTGCGTAATCATTACAATTATATACCCTAATTGCCATCAAACCTAATTCATATAATATATACTACTGTATACAAAATTATCTTCATTTCTTCAATGCACCATATGCATATTAATTATAATTATCAATAAAAAGTATATACATAATTATGCATTCGTAGTAATTAACGTAAATGATTGGACAATATAATCTCTAGGAAACTTGGACGTACGTTCTTATACATGTGAGCTGATCATGACCAAACCACACACCATCCCTGTCCCAAGTGATTCGAACTAAAGGAGGAAAACACAATTACCGTACCGATCGTTACGAGCTCATGAGTCCCACCATCGTTTGGGTCATATGTTAGTAAATAATTTAAGTCATTTCGATCAACCAAAAAAAATAGATTAGTCATTTCGACTTCGTGCCGACAAATAACGAACTAACGATGCAGATAAGATTCTTTTGCTTGTAATGACGGTCACGTGGTTGCACATGATGTCGGTAAAAACTTGTATTAAAATAGTATTTTGGACCACACTATTGATTTTGTTCTTTGGTTGAATGTTTAATTAGACCATTCATAGGAATAGTAACGAGTCAACGTGGTCATACTGTGAGTTGTGTGACATATGTCGGTAAACACATTTTTTTTTTTGGGTTTATGTTAATTAACTTACTTCATAATAAACTGTTATAAGTTTTTCTCTATAGGTTAGGGGAATGTGTTATAATCGTACATCCCTATGTATAATATAATCTAATGGTCACAATTATAATCTAAAGAGAAAATTTTAGGAGACAATGTAACTTCTCAATAGGAACACAATGATTAAGGTCAATATTTCCAAATAATATTTACCCTTGAAAACACCATCATTAAAGTTGTTAGATTTTCTTTTTAACATCGAGGTTGTTAGTTAATTCCATCAGTAACCTTATTGACAATTTTAGATGTCGTCCACACATATATAACATGAGTGCGTATACGTAGATCATCAAACATATCTATAGATGTGGTCACATGTAGCAAAAACGCGTAATTGTGTAGTATAGTCACTACATGTCTACAGAGACGTGTCATGTCTTAGTTGTGTCCTTAGCGAATCGAGTTTTAATTTGCCTTTCACATTGTTATGTTTTCAAGAACCTGAAAATTTTATTTATAATCTTCACAAAATACAAAATAGGATGACACAACACGCGTCTGATATCCAACCAAGAGCTGTACCCACTCATGTGTGTTCTGATGAGTTACGTTGTTCCACGTACAAAACTTGTTGTAGTTGCATGTTGATTCGGAGCATTATCAAAAAGATTAACAATGACAAGCTTTCTCATTTATCAAACGAAATAACAAGTATACAAAACGGTGTAGACATTAAATATATAAAAATGCATCTCAATTATCTCCTTCTCATTAGCGTTAGGAGAAGATTCTTAGAATCTTAATCTTAATACAAACTCTTTTGTCTGATATCCCTACATAATGATACTACCACGTAACAATGTTTGACAAGTTTTGTAGTAGTTTTGTTACGTGCTTATACATGATTGGTTGACTTAGAACAAAAAAAAAAAGGCTCCGCATATATCATATCCTAGGTCTTTAATATGCATATGGAAGTAACCACTAAAGCGCTTTAAAGTGAGCTAATAATACCATAAGTTATGATCATGTCCAAAGAGGATCCCACCACGACATGGATGAATTATTGTTGTTGTTATTGTCCTCAAGGAATCCCAAATCATTGCTCTCTTCGTCGGGGCTACTTATGAACTCGTCGCCACTCTCAAACGAACTCTCAAAGGACATTTTGTGTTGTCCTTGCTCTTGTGCTGACAACTTTGTTTGCTCCATTTTATATACCAATTCTAGTAGACTTGATCTTTGGAGTTGCATGCCCACTAACTCTACTTGAGTCTTCGCAAGTTGTGCTTGTAGCTCACTTACTTGTCTTTGCAAATGGTAAATTGCACCCGCACATCCGTAAACCGGATCTCTCATCCTAGCTCCAGCTTCATAGACCATGCTATTAACCGCATCTGTTCTTTGTGATTCAGGAAGCTCCTATATACATAAACATCATTTATCACTAAAACGTTACTTTCTAGAAGAGGAAATAAAAGTCTTGGACATGGAACGTGGATTATTGAATATTTGACATGATTAAAATTTCATCTTTGACATTGTGAAATTGTTTTTTATTTTATTTGACCATGAAGAAAACTTACATGACTTTTTTTTTCAAATTATGGATGAAAAGGAATTGTTGAAATAGACTTTTTTTTTTCTTTTTCTTTTTAATATAACTTTAATTATAAATTTTCTTAATGAGGTTGCATGTAGTATAGCTTTGAGGAAAGGTTGTTATTGACCTTTCATTGCAATTGTAGGGTCTAGTTTTGGTCACATGACTTATGAAACCATTATTGTTCAACAACTAGACTTTTAACTTCCTTTTCACATTTTGGAAACCAGATTTCATCTTTGTAAATAAAAAGTATATACTATTTTTTAATACAAAACAACAAAGCCATCATTCTCTTTTGATCTTTTAAATTATTAGATACCATTATAAATCCTTTGTATAGTAAATTTTATTTTATTTATTACCCACTAGAGATATTGTCTTTGGTGTTAATATAATTTAGATATTAAATACTAAGCAAATGTGAAATATCTTGGTTCATGTACACACGTGCGTGTAACATATACATAGAAAACACACACGTGTAGCAGCAAGTAATTAAAGAAAGAAGATGAAAAAAATACATACCTGCAAGAACTTGATAATATTGCTAGCTCCAAAGACACGGTGAGCAATTGTGAACTTCATCGGATCCGTCGGAGGAAAATACGGAGCCAAAACGCATTTCTCGGCGCACCGCCGCCTCAAAATCTTGCAAGCCGCACAAGGGCTTAGAACAACCGGAGGTTGTGGCGGCTGCTGCGGCGAAGGAGGAGGAGGAGGTGAAGAAGTTGGAGAAGGGGAAGAAACAGGAGTGGTGGTTTCCGCCACGGCCACGGCTGAAGCAGTAGGTGTAGCAACCCCACCGTTAATCTCCATCTTAAGCATGATTATCTTAGGGACTTACTTGTTTTATATGCTTTTCTTTAGAGTCAATTAGTAAAGTTTATAAAATAAGGAAGGAGTTGATAAGGCAAAGTGTGTTTTGTAGAGTGAAGTGGTTTTATGGTAAGTAAAGGAAGATTGTGAATGTGGTATATATAGAGAGAGACACACACACAAGAGAATGACAAAGTGACGTTTGTAAAATGAGTTGTGACGTTATTATAATTTTCTTTATTTATATATGCCTTTACGGTGTTATTACTACTACTAAATTCGTTTTTATTTTATTTTTGTTTCAACGGTTGATTGACTTTGGCGGCTTGATTAATTATATTTCCACATTCGCACTTAGGCAAAGATTGTTATATTTAATTTCCAATTAATCCTTAAAGTAGTCTTTTGAAGAAGTAATCCGTTCCACGTTTTCACATCTCGCTTATATTTGTTTTCATATAAAATTCGGTGTAAAGAAGTTTTCTAAAACACCTTCTTATCTTTGATATTTAGTTATTTGATTAAATATCACGAAGGCAGTAACGAGTTTATTTGATTTTCTATGTGAAAGCCAATTTAGTATCAATGGAGATTTTTTTGGTTTGATATCATTCCCTTTGACTCATTTCTGCTATCAACCCATTTGTTGGAAGCAATAAATGAAGTATTCATAGAGGGAATGATACATGGAAACCAATTAAACAGTGATATGCAAGAATAGTTATTGAGGTCATATTATTTACTAAGCTTCACGGCTCATGGGGACTGCATTATTTCTTCGAACGAATCCACACGATCATTTCATACTTAAGAAATCACAAAAAGAATAATTGATATAAAAAGTAATAAATGAGTACCGACACTTGTATGAAATAAATAGCTAAAAAAAATATATGTTGCGTAATAGAGAAATAAAATGAACAAAAACGTGTTAAATCTCTAATTGATAAATTACTTAGAATCATTTATGAATTTAGTTTTTAACAAAAAAAACAAAAAATTATGAATTTAGAATGTTTCGTGTTGGTGTTTATATATTTTTCACATAGATTTACCAATTTGTAACTTATAAAAGTACGATTAAAAAATGTGTTTGACTCATTATATTTTAGTTTAGTTGGTTCGATTTGTTCTTATGATTTTGTATTTATTATTAAAAAATCCTAAATATGAATATTTTTAAGTGTTTATAAAATTACAAATCTATAAATTTGAGCAAAAATGACATATACAAAAGATTTTCCTTAGAAAAATGGCATTTTTTTTTTTTGTAAAATCCCAATTACTTATCTACATATAGAAAAACAAAACATTACAGGAAAAATATCACGGATGCCATATAATAGATGAATGACAAAGACAAAATGGTGAAATTCGTGTTTTAACTCATTTTTCCAATAGACAAAAAGAACTTCAATGTCATTTTCTGAAATGTTATCTATTGTTATCTCTTCAATTTTTATTTTATTTTATAAGAAAAATATGAGTTGCTTATTCTCTACAAAATCAATAAGTTACATAAGTTTCTATGAACAAGTTGTTGATCGAGTATCAACAACATTGTTCTCGCAATGGAAACATATTTGAGCGTCGCGTACACAACACCACTATCGTGAGACTACTCTTTTGGTTGCTGACATGCCTTGTGGTTGCTTAAACTGATGAGTGCCTTTACTTTCATTTTGGTGTTATTTTTCATAATTGATATTTATGCGATCCTTACATTAATCTTTTTACTCAAATATGTTAACCATACCAAGCTTTTTGATTCTATTAACCAACTTTTTTTTTTCAATTCGCCATCATCATTTTTTTTTTTTTGTATATTTTATTAATCCGAAAAAAATTATTTTCGACATAGGCTAGTGTTCTCGATTCAAAATAATCTTGGCTCGTTTGTGATTTTTAAAATTTTGTCCTATATTTTTTTGTTTCATTGGTTCCAAATCAAGTTTCTGTTTTTTTTTTGCTTTGTATTACCTCTAATTTTCCAACAAAAAAAAAAAGAGAAAAAAGTTCCCGAGTAATACAATGTTAGAAAATTAATGCAAAAAGCCAAATGGTTATTCTAGGTTGCCTAATATTGGTAATATATATGCCTCTTTTTCTTCTTCTATTCTTGAGTTTGTAGAACTGTGTAAGACTTTTCTCTTTGAAATAACGATTTCTATGAAATGGTATAGGAAGTATCCAAAAAAACTTTGGTCTTTATAAACCATTTCTTCTTTATAATTACTAGAAAAAAATTGACAGAACATTAAAACAATTTTGGCCGAAGCTGACCAAAAAAAAGAAAAAAGTAACTTTAACATAATTTTACAATATTATTGTCTTTATTTAGTATGAGAATTATCGACGTATCCCCACTAGTTTCAACGTTTTCTTTACGACATGACATATTTAATCGATGTATTTTGGAAAAATCTTCAGTTTAGTCTTAGCTTTAGAATATTTTTAACTAACTATGCGACTTTATAAAGTGTACGTGGCTACATTCTCTTTAATTATATAACAACTGGTTCATAAATGTTTTTCGCATGATCGAACAAGTACGAAACATTTCTATAAATTTTCGTGATTATGGATAACTCGTACCTTGATACTTAGCTCTTGATACTTAGCTCTTAATACACAATATTATTTGGATACTTGTATGAAAAATACAGCCATATATAATATACATCGTTTTCGACAGGCAAAAAATAGTTTAATTTCCACATATATAGGCTTCGACTTGTATGGACTGTCATTAATAAAAAAAAAAGAAATAAATGAAATTTTCCATGTCAACTATGGAAAAAAAAAAAACTAAAGTCTAGTGTAGTTGAAAAATTCGTTATGGAATTGGAAACCCATGAAACTAAATTGTTATTTCAATTCAATCATAGTTATCATTAATTATAACACTTTAAGTAATAAACGTACATGATTTTTCACAAGTTTTGAAAATTAGTCTGAAAGAAAAAAAAAACTTGCACGTCAAATTATGAAAGAAATTTTCACGTGGTGCACGTTACAACTCCCTGTCGTCCGAGAAGTATAAGAACGACACGTAGTCAGTGGTCGAGCTATCTCTTTATGAGTTATTGGGTGTGCGATATTTCATATTTCTATCTATCTATGCTGACACAATCAAAGAAGACAATGCTATCTTTCTACTTTCTCTCAACCATATCAATTTATTCAGCTTTTTTTTTTTATAAAAAAGATACTATTTGATTTTAAGTAGTTAGCTCGATCATATTATAGTAGAGAGACTAATAACTAAATTGGGGGACATAATTAGGATAAGTTTGGTGGAAATTGGTCAGCTCGTTGGACACATTAAGTAAGGAAAAATTGGTTTCTTTGATTTTTGAGGTACTAACGAAAGCTCTTCTTCGTTTTATTTCCCCTTTGTCTTAAAAGGTCTTTTGGTTGGCTTTTTTTTTTTCATTTCACAAAGCAAATAATTTACGTATCATATTCACTATAGTTGTTGTGGTAACATGGATCAAGAAAAAACAATCATCGGTATACAATGAACGAAATAAAAAATAAATAGTAATCGTAATAAATCATATTTCTTTTTTTGGATTGATATATTAACTTGTTTCAATAATCCATATGTTTTTGTTAAAAAGAATTTTCTAAGTTTTTATTTATTAGAAAGTAATTGTGAACCATTCTTGAATTGAACTTAAGTGGTAAAACCTCAGTTTAGATCACCATTCATTGTGTATATTTCTATCTTAAGTATAGATAGATATGTTAGTTTTATATCTTTGCAATTAATCTATATAACTTGCAAATAAAATCGATCACACTCATTAACTATACGTCAAAATGCATAATGTAGCACTTACTTAGCTATAGTGGAACTTTTGTAAACTTGCAACTTGTAAGTACATACAGATTAGATCTCATTAAGGTGTCACTTGTGTTGTGTATAATAAAAATTACTCAACTATACCGACTAATAATAGTGCTTAAAGGAAAATTAAGATAGTGCATAATCTAATTATTCTCCCATTAATACAATTATTTACTAATAATAATAAGACTAGATGTAGACGGGAGTAGGAATTTGTCAAACTACTACTTCTTTTAGCTTAAGGGAAAAAATATTCGAAGAACTGAAAAAAACTTATCTTAATTAGTGTATATATATAGCTTCATCCAATCAAAATGATGCCTCTTATAGTCGTATTTATTTAAAAAGTCCGAACACTTTCAAAGACAAACAAAGATATTAAGGAATACTCTTTTGGAATGTTAATTTTTTTTAATCATATTTTGAAAATCTCAATCCATATATTGAAAATGATGATTTACGCCTTGTAGTTTTTTTTTTTTTTCTGTGGACACAAAAGAGTTGTAAATCTTAACAATATAAAGGAATGTAAATTTTCATCTCAAAAACATGTATAGAACAGATAAATCATTAAGTAGAAAAAAAAAAGTTTCTTCTCTTTGCAGAATCCAAAACCAAAGTTGGCAGACAGATATATGTCCAACTTGAATTTGAAGTTAATGTGAAAATAGTTTATTGGCTTTTTGAAAAGCCACACAAAGATATCTTTATTTCACCAATTTTCTTAATTAGTTATACTTTCATAATTCTATGATGAATATATCTATATATAAAAATAAGATGACAATTTTGTCAAATTACAGATTAAGGTGGCAGTAGCTAATTAGATGTGATATATTCCATAGTCTCCATCTGCACCCACTATATATTACCACCCATATGCTAAAAAAATAATAATTTTCCACACACCAAAGAATAATATTCCCAAATTATACAAAACTTACGCGTGTGTAAGTGTATATATGTATGTGTATCTCTGTCACTCTGTGTTGTCCCTCACAATGTATCTTCTAATGCGCGTGGACCTTTGCGATACTTCCAAATTCCAAAGGAGAAAACACTGTTACATTTTTTAATACGTGTGTTTTATATGTAAGATAATAATAGTGTATAATGCATGTTGGAATTATCTGAGAGTTGTATATGTATATATATATATATGTTTTTGCCTCAGTGAAGTCTCATTGTTGACAAATAAAAACAAAAGAGAATGAAGTCCCACTAAATTTTTTAATTGAATATATTCTAATTCTATAGGCT